AACATTCTTCCCTCAATGCAGCACAAAGGCCCTTTTCTCTCATGAAGAGGAGGTCCAACCCTCGCCTGTTCTGTAAAACAACTTCAGAGAGAGAGGTTAAAGATTCCTGCAAAGCTGTGATGGAGGTTTCTAATATATTTAAGTTTTTGTCCATTGCTGTTTCTAATTTTGTCATTTGTCGTGTCCCACGGACCAAGGCTGTAGCCCTTGTGCCCACCCCTGCAGCAATTCCCATTTTTAATAAGATGGCTAGAGTGTGAGGGCTACAGGTTCCCGGTGGAACCAGGTTGTATGTCCCCTTATTTGATCTTTAAATGAACCTGCGTCATGATAGAGCACTCTGGGAAACATCTGTACCATTATATAATTAATCACATCTGTTGACCATTTTATGAAAACATAAATAATGTTTAAGTATATGGAATTATATTGTTGTAGGGACGGACAAGGCAAGGCACTTAAGATAGCACTGAAGACAGGGAAAAGTTCTATTTTGTTGCAACCGGATTCAGAGGGCATTGTTTCTGTTGTAATCAATTAATCCCCTGAACCCCAAGTTTAGGTAGTTTTTAGAATTTTGTACTCAGCATGTAAGGGAAGGGGCTTAGAAGTTCACAGTCTGCAGAATTTCACAAAAAGCAGTTTTTGTTTCTGTTTTTTTTTTTCTCTGTTCTGGGCAAGTTAACTTTTTAAGGACACCTGGGAGGGGGAGAAAATTTTTTTTTCTTTGTCAGCTGTTGCCATGGAGCCCAGTTGATAACTTTTTTATCTTAGAAATGTAGCCATCTCTGAGAAGCCCCAGCTCAAGGCCAGAGGCCTTGTTCACATATTTTGTGAAAAACTAGTAAGGGGGTGTCTAGCGTAGGAGTGCTGATTTTTCCAGCCAGTGGCCAAGTAGAACAGGGCAACATGAAAAGAGGAAGTTTATCTATACTGAACTCTTTTATAAGGAATTTTTTTGCTGAAAGTTCTAAAGTCACCCATGGTGAAGACTTCTGGAGAAGGTCAGTTAAGACTTTTTTGTGGGCCTGGTACAGAGGGGGAGGACGGGAAAGGCGGTGCTGAGAGTAACTCCATTGATCTGAGAATGAGGAAGGAGAGATGTAAAAGAATAATGGGAAAGGGGCTTGGGATTTTTCTAGCAACAAAAACTTGAGTAGTAGAACAGGTAGAGCAGAGGGGAATACTGGAGTGAGTATCCCAAAAAGACTGTGAGGGACTTTAAATTTTTAGTAACCTGTTTTTAGTAATGGTAAAGCAACTTTAAAGGCCATTTTTATTACATCTTAGATAGTTCTGGTGGGACCCGGTGTGGGCACTGACAGGAGAAGAGAGGAGTGAGTCGGTGGAGAGGTACCTCAGTACCTGTTACTTCAGCAAGGGGGCAATGGTCTGAGAACCGGCGGAGGTTTGGGTTCCATCAGGTAGCCCCTGTATGTTTACATCCTTATGACTTACAGAAGAAGTCGATTTTTCCCCCACACAGCCGTGACTGTTAGTGGCTTTGATAGTCCACTGGGCAAACATAGTAATCTAGGTTAGCCAATTTACATCTGGCTTGCGTGTCCCTACATCCATAATGTTTGTTTCTATTATCTATGGTACGAAAGGGATTTAATGGAATTTTAGTGGGATCCTCTTCATCAGGGATACCCAATAGGAAAGACCTATAGCCAACTGACAAATGTCTGGGTGGAGAGATGGCCACCAGGTACATAAGGGGGCTGTATGCGAGATAGACCATACTTCCTGTCCAGTAGGATTTATGATCAGCCATTGCTGCTGAACGGGCTGATGAGGATTAGGACTATTGATGGTCAAGGGGAGGGTCCATAGCCCTATCCACATGGCGAATATGCAATTTGAGAGGGTTACCAGTCTTTTTCAATTCCCAGCCAGAGTCTGGACAGGGCACAGGCTTGAGATGAGAGACATGGATCCAGGAAGTGATTCCATCTACCTTTACCGCTGTAGGTGTTATAAGCAGCACCTGGTATGGTCCTTTCCAGCGGGGTTCTAGGGATGACACCTGATGTCGTCTTACATAGATGAAGTTTCCCACTTGATATTGGTGTGGAGTTCCTTCATTTCCAGGTTGGTAGGCAGTGGCCAGCTGTTTCCACAGGTATCACTGAGTTTTTTCAAAAGTTTTAAGTCTGTCAAGCAAGGGGGTGTGAAAAGAATCGTTAGGTCTTAGAGTTGGGGTCAGGTCCCTTATTGGAGGAGGGGCATCATAGAGAATTTCATAGAGGGCAAGGTTACACAAAGAAACAGAGGGAGTATTTCTTGTACGAAACAGTGCATAAGGCAGGAGCATAGTCCAATCTTTTATGCCGGTCTCCAAGCTTAATTTTATTAAGGTCTCTTTAATGGTTCTATTCATATTTTTTATCTGTCCTGAGCTCTGGGGTCTATAAGCGCAGTGTTACTTCCAATTAATCCCCAGGGTCCTGGTTAACCCCTGACTTACCTGGGCCACGAACGCCGGTCCATTATCGGACCCTATTACCTTAGGCAGGCCGTATCTTGGAAAAATATCTTCCAGGATCTTCTTGACTACCATTTGTGCCCTTTCTTTTTTTGCGGGGAAGCCTTCAATCCATCCTGAAAATGTATCTACAAAGATTAGGAGATATTTAAGTCCATACCTTGCTGGCTTAATTTTAGTAAAGTCCATTTCTCAAAATTGTCCTGGTCTGGTCCCTTGAAGCGCCTTCCTACAGGGAGCTTGGAAGGGTAAGCATTAACCAATTGATAGACCCCACAGGCTTTTGTTACCCATTCAGCTATTTCCTTTCGTTTTGAGCTGGTTAGTGGAAAACTCTGTTCTTGATCTTTCAGGAATGCTTGCAGTTTCTTTGAACCAAGGTGAGTGAGTTGATGTATATTCTTAACGTAGTGTAGTGCTTTCTGAAATTGCAAGCTGGGCTCAGTGTAGTCAAGGAGTTCAGTGTCACTGTCCTTTGTTAAGTTGTTGGGATGCTCTGATGTAGTTAAATCTCCTGACTTATATTTCCCCCGTGTGGAAAGTGTTAACATGGTTACTCTGTTTAGGGCTGTCAATTTAGCCTCTTCATTTGCCCTCTTGTTAGATGGGGGTGGTATCTGCACAACGGTTTGTTTTCTGGGCTCAGTGAGCCATTGTTTGTCGCCCCTAAGGGAATAGTCCAAAAAGATTACTTCTTGCTGGCAAATTTGGGCTTTTTTGGCAGAAGCTCGGATAATAGTGCTTGGGTCCCAGACTCACAGTTTTCCCTGGTGTCTGCCGCCAGTAGCAGGTCATCCACATATTGAAGTAGGGTGACTTCGGGGTGCATGGTTTTGAAGTTGTTGAGATCTCTGTGAAGGGCTTCATCAAAGAGAGTGGGGGAGTTTTTGAACCCCTGTGGGAGTCTGGTCCAAGTTAGTTGATCAGACGTTTCAGTTTCTGGGTTTACCCATTTGAAAGCAAACAGTAATTGACTATCTTTATGCAGAGGCAAGCAAAAGAAAGCATCTTTTAAGTCCAGCACAGTATACCATTTTCGCTCAGGGTTCAGGGTGCTAAGCAGATTGTACGGATTAGGTACTGTGGGGTGAATGTCCTGCACTCTGTTGTTGATCTCTCTTAGGTCTTGAACAGGGCGATAGTCCCCAGTTCCTGGCTTTTTTACTGGTAGCAGGAGAATGTTCCAGTCCGATTGGCAAGGCCTTAGGACCCACAAGGCCAGATATTTCTGAATATGGGGCCTTATCCCATCTTTAGCTTCTTTGCTCAGAGGATATTGTTTAATATTAATTGGGGAGACTGAGGTTTTTAACTCCACCATTATTGGAGGTTGTTTTACAGCTAGGCCTAATCTAGCAGTTTCTGCCCAGGCATCTGGGTAATCTGTTATCCATTTCTGAGATAGCTTGCCTGTTTGATCAGTCTTGGGGGGTGTGAAGAGTTGATGTTCATCTTCTACTGACATAGTTAAAGCCATGACTATAGGAGTTTTTACTGAAGGATTTAGAAATTTTATTTGGGGGCCTTCAGGGTTAAAAGTTATTCTGGCCTGGAGTTTGGTGAGCAGATCTCTGCCCATCAATGGGGCTGGGCATTCTGGGATCACTAGGAAGGAGTGATGGACTTTTCATTTTCCCAGGTCCATGGTCCTTTTTCTTTACAGTAGGCACATTGATCTGAAGCCAGATGTGGCTTTTGGCATGGACCCAGGTATCCCTTTCTGTCTCCCTGTCTCTTAACTTCTGGCCTATTTGTTGTTGTGACCAGGACCTTAGTCAATGCCTCAGTCTGTCTTTTGCTTCTTTCATCCTCCCTTTGCTCCCTTTCTTTCTCCCTTTTTTCCCTTTCTTTCTCCCTCCTTTGTTCCTTCTCTTCCTCAGTTTCTCTCTTATAGTATACCTTCTCAGCTTCTCTGACTAAATCTCTCAAAGTCATATTTTGTAATCCATCTAAACGTTGTAACTATTTTTTTTAATATCCAGGGCAGCTTGCCCAATAAAGGCCATCGTGACAGATGTCTTTTGATCCTCTGCCTGGGGATCAAAAGGAGTATATCTCCTATATGCCTCCATAATTCTATCCAGAAACATAGAGGGTGATTTATTAGGCCCCTGAATAATCTCTCTTACCTTGTTCAAATTAGTTGGCCATATAGCGGCTGCTTGGAGACCCGATATTAGAGCCCGGCAATAAGTGGACAGATGCTCCCTACCTTTAAAGGTGTTGGGGTCCCAGTTAGGTCGGTTTAAGTGGAAGTCAGCTTCGATTATGTTGGGAAGTTGTGTCAATCGCCCATCTGGTCCGAGGATATTTTTTTTCTTGCTTCCAGGAGGATTCTCTCTTATTCCTCTGTCATGAAGAGAGTGCCTAAGAGTTGTTGGCAGTCATCCCAAGTAGGCTGGTGTGAAAATATCAATGACTCGATCAGACCTGTGAGCCCGGTGGGGTCCTCGGAAAAAGGGGGATTGTTATTTTTCTAGTTATATAGATCTAAAGAGGAGAAAGGCCAATATTGGTAGATTTGCATTTTTCCACCATGGCCATCCTCTATCATTGGCCCATGAGGACAGAGGGGAAGTATCATGGGGGCTTCAGGGTTTTTAATCATTCGCTGCAGGCGAGTTCCTTTAGCTGGGTCAGCTTCCTCCAGGGGAGGAGGGGCTATGTGTGCCTCGGAAAAGTCATCTGAAGGGTGCTGGGCTTGCTTAACCTCCTTTAATGGTGGAGAAGCTGAGCCAGCAGCAGGGGAATCACTTAGAGGGTGTTGGGGGTTGGGGAATGGAGGCAGAGGATAAGGAAAGGAAGGGGAGTCCAGCAGAGTCAAATCTTGAGACTCAGAAAGAACAAAGGGTGGAGGAGGAGGTTTGAGAGATAGAATCGTAGGGGGAGGGGTAGGAGCAGGAACAGGGACAAGAAAAGCTTTTACCCAAGGAGGAGGAGATTCACAAAGGTCCTGCCAAGTTAAGATATACGGCTGTTGATCTGGATGGCTATGTGGTCCCAGCTGAAAGACAAAGACAATATCTCTGACTTTTCAAATTAGTGGGGAGTAGAAAGATCCTTCTGGAGGCCATCCAATTCCAAAGGCGGGCCATTCTGAGGCACAGAGAGTCTGCCAGGTCCGGTGTTTTACAGAAAAAGAAAGATTCTGAGCCCTTATGTGGACTTCAGTTTAGTGAATGACTCTGTCCTATAATGAAAGTTACTTAAACAAATACAGGGACAATACAAACGTGACACAAACATGGACACACAGTAAACAGTAAACGTGTAACACAAGTTTAGAGGCAAAGAATAAATCAGACAGTGAATTCAACCTGAGAGAAAGAATAGATGCTGGCAAGACCAGACGGGTTGGCAGCAGAATACAGATGAGGGCACCTTGTCCCTCCCAGATGGGGGCACCTCCGTCCCCCCTAGAGTCTCCCAAAGCGTCCCTTGAGGAGACGTGGTCTGTGGCTTCAGGGACACGTCTATCCACCACAGCCAGGGAGAACTTACGCTCTCCGCTGACAACCACACTCTGCCAACCCCAAACCAGAAAACCAGAAGGCCCTGAGAACTTATGCTCTCCAGCCCAAAACCAGAAGGCCCTGAGAACTTATGCTCTCCAGCCCAAAACCAGAAGGCCCTGAGAGCTTACGCTCTCCAGCCCAAAACCAGACTCTGAGCGATTGCAAAGGAAAAACAAGAAGGAGAAGAAGGAGGAGGAGAAGAAGAAGAAGATAAGACACCTTATTTACCCCCCTAAAGGAGTCTTGTTGAGGTCTCCCTGTCCGGCGATGCGCAGGTCCCGGCCAATGCACCAAATGTAAGGGTCCTGCGAAACGTCGGAGTAAGAGACCACAAGAGACTGT